TATATATATATAAAATATGTGTGTGTGTGTGTCCCACTCTCTTCCAGGGCTTGAGTAAAAAACGTGGAGTTTCCTCCTCCATTCTTCAGGGGCTGTGGATGTCATATAGCACAGGAAGACTTTGCCCTGTTCTTTCATCGCTGCGCAACCTCTATACCCCCAATATCAAGGTAGCATAAAACACCCACACCAGCTTTTTTGTGCTTGTGGTGATAGTACATGCACACTTTTTCTCTGTGTCCATTCAGGTGAGCAGGCTCCTGATAATGGGTGGAGCCAATGTGGATTACCGAACTGAAGTCCTTAATGGTGCCCCTTTATTGTGTGTCCATGCTCACCTAGGCCACAAGGATGCCGTAGCACTGCTGCTTGACCACAGAGCCCAAGTGATTGTTTTTCTTCTTTTGGTTATGTCTACCTGAGATTATGGTAATGAACTGAAAGACTTTAACCAAACAGGAGGCCTGTGTATTTTATTTTTAGGTGGATGCTCAGTCACATGATGGTTTAACAGCTCTGGGATTTGCTGCTGCAGCTGGTCACTTGGACATTGTCACCTTGCTGAGTCACCACAAAGCCAAGGTAGCTACATTTCTAATTGAATAAAAAATAAGCAAAAGAAAAAAATTGATTTCGACACAAACCTATTTTTTAAAACAGAACCGAACATAAGACTGCTCCAAATATGGTCTCTGCCTTCCTATACACTTAGATCGGCCATGTGGACAGCTCAGGCCAGTGTGTGCTCATTCTGGCAGCCCAGCACGGTCATCTTGAGGTGCTGCGCTTCCTGCTGAAGAGCCCCGATTGGAGCTGCACTTCCTGCTGTAACCAGAGGGGGACGAGCAGGAGCCAGGCTGTGCAACAGGCTCTGATTGCAGCAGCCAGCATGGGGCATGCGGAAGTGAGAAACTCGAGATAAGAGCATGTGACATTTGTACATATACTGTAGGTTAGTATCATGAATAATGTATAACATAATAACATGATGTGTTTTATGTAGATGGTGTCATACCTCCTGGATCTTCCAGAAGAAGATGAGGAAGAGGAGCAGAGACCTGAGATTAACATATATGACTGTCTGTGGGGGGAGACGGGTATGATTCATAATAAATGTCATAAATTTAAGCAAAACACGGGTTCTGAGGAAAGCAGAGGGCTCTGGAAAAATTTTCATGCATTTAATGTGTTATTGTAACACATTTTAATACATCACAGTTAGGCCTGTCACGATAACAAATTTTGCCGAGCGATTAATTGTCTAAAAAAT